TTCATATTCGCTGAAGCTCAAGCCAGGGCGGTACCTGCGCAAAAGTCGCAAGTTTTCCAGGAGTTTCGGTTAAAAGAATTATCAAAATGTGCGGGAAGCAAGCGTCTGTGACGTGGACAACGCAGGCATCCAATAAGAACGAACCCATATCATGGCACAAGGGATTCGCGGACGTCTACTTAAACAGGTGTATAATAACGCTGATTGCATTTCCTCAGCATCTGGTATCTTCCATTGGCGTGGTCTCGTCATGAACACCACCGTTTGCTCGGATTATCTCTCTCACCCTGAGTGCTGGCACACGCTCGTGGTGCAAAGGCTTTGATCTGGTGCTGACGGTCGACTGGTTTGAAGCACGTGCATGAAATGCTGCATGCGATAAGGCATAGGCTGTGTTTGCCCACGAAACAGTGTCTAGCAAGTAGTCCAATGCAAAATCAGGAAATGGTGCTAGAACCAATGAGTGGTTAACAGAACATGGGGCAAAGCTGCCCGATGTGAGGCACCAGAATCCTGTCACCGACAGCCTGCTATGGGGCGGCTGATGCAGCGCTGCATCGCAGCACGCTATGCCATGGAGAGAGGCGGTCGTTGCGTGGTTTCTGCATTGTGGTGGGCGATGGACTGATGAACTGGTGACAGATGTGTTCGTCGATACTTAAGTGTTTGGAAGAGTTAGGTCTGGCAGCTTGGAAAATTTTGAAAAACCTACCCAAAATCAAACTAAAATGTAAGGTTGGAGACGTGTAGAAACAAGTAAAACAAAATGTAGTTAATACAACAAACACCGCCTTACGCTTAGCAATGTGCGTTGTTAATTGTCTCTTCCGATATTTTGTTCCAAAGCTAATACTTTCTGAGGGTTAACTACGCGTTGCGAACGCAAATTTAGCAGATGTGTAGCAAATGCAGCTATAGCAATAAGCAATCGTGAGGCCTGCGCGCCGGTGGATATAACCTGGGTGCTGACATTTAGCCCACTTCGTCGTGCCTTGGTGACAGCGTCGGCTCACCGCCTACCCCTCCCCACCGGTCCAGTGTCTGCAGACGATCATGAACATCGCACTGGTCGTGCTGGAGGCGCGGGACCCGGACAGCCGCCTCTGCCACGTCCGCATTCCTCTCAACTACACCACTATCGTCCTCGCCACGTTCACCGTGTTCGTGGACGCCATCTGGTCGGGCTTCGGCTACGACTCGGACAAAACACCCCGTCGGCCCGTGGTCCCGCCGGAGCCGTAGCCGTAGCCGTGGCCGTAGCCGGAGACGGTGACAGAGCCGGAGACGGCGCCGCAGCCGAGGCCGGAGCCAGAACTGGAGCTGGAGCCAGGAGCTGGAGCCGGAACCGGATCTGGAGCCGGAGACGGGGCCGCTGCCGGAGCCGGTACCGGAGGTGGAGCCGGAACTGGAGACGGAGCCGGAGCTGGACCCGGAGTCAGCCCTACTGGAAGGCGCTGACCGTGGCCGGGTGACCTGGAGATGCGGCAAGGTCACGCGGTGACCCGGACGGAAGACGTGGAATGTGGCTCACGGACCACACTCGGGGTTCTGTGGCCTCCAGTACTATTGCAACGCAACAACGGAGAGTGAATAACATCCACTTAGTGACCAAACTACGAATGGTGGTGTCCAGCGTAGAGAAAGGCGTTCGGGGCTAGTGGCCACTGTGCGACGAGGCAATGTGTGTGGAACGCCCACTGCGCAGGCAGAGAGTGCCATGGTGGTAAAGGACGATATCGGCTACCAAAGCGATGTCCTATATTAGCAAATCTTCGGCAGGCGTCTGTTGTGTTATATATATATATATATATATATATATATATATATATATATATGTAATAGATAATAATAGGCGTCATGTGTAAGTAGATGATGTCGGCCAGAGGTGGCTAGTGTCGCGTTCGCCTTGAGAGCGCCGCGTGTTTCCGCGCAATAGCTGCATATGCTGCGTTGTGCAGTGGTGAGAAATAGTGTGACGCGACAATTTTCGTTGACACCTTTTGATATACAAATCTGAATCGCTAAACAAGATACGGCATGCGCCATCAGCCATAAGCAGTATAGCAAACTCCATATCGACCGGCCAAGACTTTACTTTTGTCTGGCAAATGACAATTTCATTTTGGAAAACATTTAAGCGTGTTTTGATGGGCTCTCGAGAAATATTTCCCAGCTGTGTTTTGCAAGCTATGTCTAGGTGAATGGCGCTTTTTTGTGGGAGCAGCAAGACATATTGAGAAACCTCACAATCCGGCTGTAGCAGTTCTGGCTTCATAAGAAAACTGGTTTTGGAAGCTGCAGAATCGCGCATCACGAATAAATATTCGCGCTTACTGTTCAAACAATTGCGGACTCGAAGTGATTGCTCGGAGACTAACGTACAAAATGTAGTAAACGGTCTCTTTTGCGTTAGTTATGACAGCCAATGTTTGTTTAAATGTCTTTGTGCCGTTTAAATGCCTACACTTATTGTCATGCTACCGACTCATTACTGCTTCATTTGTGGTATTTGTGTGCACTGGCTGGGTGTTGATAAATTTGTATCTTCATGTACCTTTCACATGCTTATCTGCACATCGCTGCTGAAAGGGCGCTTTTCTTAAATGCATAAAATGTCGTGGACTATACTTCCTGAATCGGTATTCAAATACACACCGGCCACAACGTCGGAAATGGCGGTCCGCTGTCTGTCGCCCTTTGCTGGAAAAATGTTCTCGTGCAATCCGTTTCTAGTTTTATCCTGATCCAAGTCTGTCATAATCGGGTGGATTGAAAAGGGTGTCTTAACCTTGGGCCTGTTCCTATTCTGGTGGCTTACAGATATGCAGTCGCACTCAGACTTGGAGCTCACACAGGATGCATGCAATTTTTTCTTCTTAACATAAGTCACTTAAGAATTTGCGTGTATCATATTTCGAAAGGGTGTTAAAGACAATGTTCTCCTGTTTCAAATCCTGTCTGATTTCCTTTTGACACCAGGCTTTCCTGTTTCAGATCCTGGTCGGAATCCTTCTCATGATTCTGGGCGCGCTGGACATCACTGAGAATTCTCCTACTCAGAGAGCCGCAGACATCATCAACGACATCAGTATCATGATCGTCTTCATCATCACACTGCTCAACATCGTCATAGCAGCATTCGGAATAGAAAACACCAGGAAGGTCTTTGTTGAGACCACCGCGTCACCGGAAACCTTCGCTCAGCTACGTTTTCTAGATGTCAAATAAAGTTATTTCCGCTTGTGAAATAATAGGCAATCTATTCCCATGCTCACATGAAACCATGCTCATGAATCATTCTTGTGGTCGGCTGCCACGCAGCATTTAACGCACTACGCCAGGTGTGAACCAAGCCAGTTTAGATCACATCAAATGTCACATTGCTGTAAGACCCACAGTTTGGTACCGAACATTCGCATGAGGACCATCGCTTCCCGTGGACTTACGCAGACCGCGCCATGGTCAAGGCTCGCATCACATATCACGCATCGACCGCTTCAGGAATGGTGATCAGCTGTTCCGTGATGGATGCCTCACGGACACAAATCACGCTCGTGAGATTTGGCCAGGGAGCAGGCGGGCTTTCATTAGCACTGGGCGAGTTTTTGCGGCAGACTGAGTTCTGACTTCCACAGCAATTAAGCGCGCGGCGAAGTCGGGGCTACACGGGGACAGAGCCTGCGCAGCACGCTGCCTCGCGACCGGTCTGACCTGGCTCGGCGTACTTGACCTCCTCGGAGCGCTTAGAGCCCCAGAGACCCAGGTGGACCTGGCGCAAATTTATTCCAGAAAATACGAGGTATGTGATCCTAAAATGGCGAGGAGCAGCTTTTGGAGCTGATCAACACCACAAGTGGCGGCTCGTGATGTTTACAAAGTGTCTGTGTAAGAATGCCTGCACGCGTTGACACTTGCAGTGAATTGTCCAGCGTGTGCCTTGTTCTTCATGTGAATATACTCCCGTATAAACTTTATGTCATGTGTTTGAAATATCACAGGTCCCAGCGTTTGAGATCAGTGAATACAACTCGCTACAACGCATCTCAAAATTGTATTTCCATATCACGAATACAAAGACAAGCATTTTCCATTCTTGTCATTTCTGGCAACAGTGAATTTCCGAAGCAAGGTATTTCCCGACTAACAGTGCGAAGCTTGACACTTCACTTCACACACACTGTGAGGCCTTCCAGCAGCCTCCCGCGCGATGTCTTGTCAGCGGCGCAGCCAGCCCGCAGCAGACCAGGGTCGTGGGAAGCGGCGTGCGAGGATTCACGAAACTGCGGAGGACGGCGTGCAGCCGCGTCGCCGGCGGGGTCCATTTGCGAAACTCACCCCGGCGTGGGAGGGGCGGGTCAGGAGAATCGTACGACACGCCCACCACTATCCGCGAAATCCATCTGAATGGTAACCAGAGGGAAGCATGGCTGTCATGGGAAAGCTCCTGGCCTTTTTGCCAACATAAAAAACGCAACACCCGCTGTAAAACTCGCCGTGATACTCTGATAGGAAATGCCAGAAAACAACGTCCAGATGAAGAGGCTTCCCGCGATGTTTCACCTTTTACTTCATGTTTGCAATATTTCAGGAAAAATATGGGGGAGCCAAGCAAACAATGAAATAATTAACAACATGGAGGCTGGAAGTTTCAGAGGATTTCAGGGAGGGAGGCCGGAGGCTTCAATACAGTAGTCAAGTGTGCCGTTGAATATGGGTCGTGACATGAGAACCGCGGTACTAATTCAAGGGAACTAGTCGTACCCTTTAATATCCCGGTGTTTAATGCCTGAGCGTCTGTTCAAGCACAGCAATTATTCGAACTGGTCGCCGAGCACGTGAAAAACCCACACGATGACGCAGCACAGCAGGGCAGCAGCCACAAGCTCGCTCGGGGGGTTGTGTAAGACCGGGCACAGCGGCGGGCAGCCCTCCCCCCCCCCCCCGAACTCCGGTGGCTCGCACCCCACCTGGGCCTGCCAGTGTCTGCCAGGCGGTGCAAGAGATAGGCACGGGCGACGCCACAGGAGAGAGGGCGGTGTCGACCGCAGCGAGACCCCACACACTGCAAGTCAGGCTCCCAGGTCAGTCGTGGTCTGTGCGGTTGGGACGGTGTGATGTCTTGCGGACAAGGACTCTGTGCTTTCATGCTACATCTGGTGCGTAATTTTGTGGACAGCAGCGGCTGTTCGTTGTTTCAGAGCAGCGCAAAAGGCTGTCTTGGCTTATTCAAATCGCAATTGATTTTCTTTTTTTAGCTTTCCTTTTAACGTAATAGTCAAAACCAGAGCTACCACTTTTGGGGTGCTGAAAACCCGTCCCAAAGTCCAAAATGGAAAACCAACCCACTCCCGGGGGGTATTTGCTCAGAAAAGTCGCAACCGCGCTGCACACAGGACGCCGCCTGCCTGTCCCCATTGGAAGACGTGATGTGCCTTGTCCCACTGATGTGTCATGTGTCATCTGACACTAATGTGTCATTGCTTGCTTGATGTGGCGGCGTGCTGCGCCATGTCTCTCTTATGTGCCAAATGTCATGTCGTATTGATGTGGCGTTTCATGCAATGCCACCAATAAGCCACGTCGCGCTTAAATGCTTGTGAGAGAGACGCCACCTGCTGGATATGTTCCGACGCTGCGAGTTGAAAGCAGGACTGCATATTTCCAGTCAGTACAATTTATGTCACCATTGAATGCATTGTTTTGTAAGCAATATTAGTCGCGGGGAGTCTGACTCCACCACCACAGTATAAGACATTCTACTTCGATGGATGATGTTTGTCAACAGACCTTAAGGTGCCACATCATCATGAGACATATTGAAAACGTGTCATGGCTCAACTATGATGAAAACTGCAATTTAAGTGGTAGATTATAATGTTACTGTACCTCAGTTGTTCCAGCGGCCCGAGAACGATCGAAAAATGCCGACTGCTGCAGGTATGCGGGTGCATAATTTAGCTCATCACCGTAATTAGGCGTCACACTGTCAGCATGCATAGCTTTGGAATTCTGTGTCGACCGCTGTAAATTGCAGAAATATTTCATAAACTGGGGACGCATTCCAAGATTGCGTTTTGTTCCTCGCGTATTTAATTTGCAAACGGTTCGTAGTTGCACGTGATAGCCGCCGGGTGTGCATGAAACATGAGCCGCCTGCTACGACTCCTGACTACATTTGCCACATACATGAGGTCGTAGGTGGGGTGAGCGAGTAGGTCGGTATTTACATGGAGTCACATATTTACAAAGAGCTCTACACCCCAACGTGCGAGATGGGATCGTAGTATTGTAGTCGAAATTGGCAATTCGATGGGATGTTGTTTCACGTCATGCAGTGAATTACGAGCACGTGAGACGCGCTAAGCTAGGTTTTCAGTACTTCGTTTGATTTTGTTCCTTCGGAAATTCCTGCGCGCGCCTTTGTGTAAAGCGAAGGAATATTTTGTTTCATCCTGCGATTTCCAAAAAGATCAAATAACAACAATATAGCCAACAGGGCTCCAGGAGGTGTTCATACTCATGCGAACGTGTCATTTGTTTCCGAATCAAGGTCCCAACTGCTCGGTGGTGCGTAACGAAATATATATTCTCTGGCTTTTGGCAGTAGCGATACCTTTTCACAGCTTGAATGCCAAGGCCATTGTGGCGTATGCATGGTACCAGTCTCGCTTTTTTGTCCTGCATTATGCCGCAGAAAGTAAATCCTGTCTCTCTTTAAGCAATTGTTCTGCAACAAAACTCTTCAACGTTGCGAAAATGAGTTCTGTGCCGAAAGGACGGTGGTGCCGCAGCACGCAAAGGTTACAGTCATAACTCATAAGTCGTAGTTCTAAGGGTTAGTGGCGGCTGTTCTGTTGGCCGATGACATCAGTGTAAGTGCGTTACGTCACGTCCGATACTCGCTACCAGGCCTGGCTCACATGAACCAATCATCAACCGCGGCCGTCGCCATACGGTTTGAAAGATGTTAGATCTTTGACAGGATTCTACACAGCAAATGCACTGCACATCTAAGTAAGACCTTACGCAAATCGGCACCGCGCTTTGACGTCAAACTCCTTTAAAATAAAATATAATGCCCTTTTAACTACTTTGTCTCCGGCGTGTCCGTGGTGGCCACGGACGTCCCGGGGAGCTGGTGTAAACGTACGCGATTCACACGTCATATCTTTCAATGCGATGCTTTAGGGCTACCGTTGATCGCTTTAGATGGATGGGAGTGGGTGAGCCTGATCGGCCGTCGCTGTTCTGCTTTTGTCACGACCCGTCACGACCCAGTCACTGCTATCACCTAAGCTGTCGAACCAGACGTCGTCTTACTCTAAAAGCAGCCAACCTGCAAGATAGTGGGACGCAGTAGTTGAACAAACCTTCGAATGGTTATTGGGTTATAATATAAAACGCTCGGCGCTCCCTTCAGTGCATATGACGAGTCGTTGTTTAAAAGGCGCCCGGGTGGCCGAGTGCATACGCGCACTCGGCTGGAGGCGGGGCAATTTGACATTCCTTATACCCCAACTAAAAAAGCTAGAAACACCAAATTCTCGGGGTAGATTGGGCTGCGTATGATCTTACTTCGATCAATTTGGGGTTCTTAGGCCATACTTTTCGGGTCAACTTATGTCAAACAAGGTCAAAATTCAGATTGGTATCCACGGCACCCCTAGAGCTCCTCATACAGCCGCCTTGAACCTAAATACCTACTCTAAACAAAAGGTCGCTGGTGTTCACTTCAGGTCAGCGACCTTGTTTGACGTTTAAAGGTAATGCTGCAAAACCTAGGAGATTGCAATGATTTTTGAATTCAACTAAGCGACAAGAATTACGCTTGGCGACAAGTTCCTCGAAATAATAGATTGATTTGGTTCATTTTAGGTGAGTGATCTCATCTGACTGATAAACAGTTTAAGAAAGATGTCTTTTGCCGCCCCGTTATAAGAAAATTTGTAATAAGCACCGGAAACCACCGCATACGGGAAAGCCTTCCGCTAAAAGGCAGGTTGGTTTTCACTTCGTTCTGATTTTCATACCTAACCCAAGGGCAATGTAATTTGTCGTGGTCTTAAAATAAATTGGCTAACTATCTAAGAAACTATCTCAGAGATATATGGCTTCATCTGGCACTCCGCTGTCGCATGAGATAGAACGGTTCCACAGCAATCGCTTCCGCTGATAGCCACGGGCTGACTTTGACCTGCCATAGTTCAGCGATCTAACAAGGCACATTTCCTTTTGATAGCGAGGAATCTGCTATTCAGTTGCCTACAGCTAAGCAAAGTTTGGCGTGGTTACGCCGCGCGGTTCGGGAATTATTTTGGGAAATCCCCTGGGGGGTCAAATTAACCCACACCTGAGAGCGTCTTAAACACCACGCACACTTGACGGGCTGCATAACAAATAGACAAGTATGTATGTGTATGTGTCATAGGAACAGTCATCGATCAGATGGTTAATTTCGGTTCAGTCGGTTAAGCTCAAGAGCGTTAAAGTTCGGCGGCATGCTGGTATGATCCGGTTATATTTGCTTTACAACTACAGCACATATGGCCTTATATAACGGGACCTTAGAGGAGCGGCACAGCTCAGTTATTGGATCATTGCAGGTAGCAGTATGGGGCAGCTTTTTCCCTGCCTTCTGCCTTGTGGTGCTGTTGCCATCACGGTACCCTGCGTTATGAGTAACCACTAATTCCTGCGAATGTGACCCGAAATGTGTGATCAGATGACACATGGAAGAAGGGATTAACATTTCGTAGTGCAGGAGCTTTTTGTTCCCGGCACAGTCCCCGCCTCTGCGCCGCTGTCGGCAGGCCTTACGTAACAGAGCCGGCGCCAGCGGCAGCCAGCTGCCCCACGCGTCCGGGCCCCCGCTTGTTGATGCCTCACCAGCATGCGAATCAGGGGCTGACCAGAAGCCGCGCCAGTCGCGGTCCTCTGGCCGCCTGTTTATGTAACGAGCCCGCGGGCCGGCCCCTGGCCGAGCACATGCCAGGGTGACGAGACCGCCGGGTGACGGTGCAGTAAACGGGCGTCCGGGTCTTGGAAATGAGAGCGGCGCGGGACACCCTTGTGACGTCGGCGAACGCAATCTGCGTTGGTCATCGTGTGAGGGGAGACGTGCGTGATGGTTGACGGTCACTCCGAGGCAGGATCAGCATTTTTAGTGATTTCACATCGTGTGAAAATTGACTTAAAGAGCAGTTTAGCCGTTTGGAAAGGGTAGTCGGGTCACTGTGACTTAACATATTATATGAATCCGGTCACATCTCCGACAAAGACGACGGCTTATGTTGTTCAATGAGACGCATGATTGCACGCATACTACCTTCAGAATGGCTGTGTCGTCAGTGCGGATGTCAACTGTGCCATCAGCAATTAGAAACCCTCGATTTAAGTGTGGGTGACGTTTTTTTTATAAAATGCACACAATTACACAATTGCAATCGAAATTGACCCTGGAGTGCGGTGTTGTCCGTAAAATATCATACTGAAGATAGAAGTGGCTCAGCATCTCGGGGAGGTGTCAAATATTTCTGGTTTCCGAACGCGTCAACTACCTCGGTTATCTGCGCCCGGGGAGTTCTTTTAAAGCAAACATGACCGGGAGAGCATTGCACGCGGGGCGGACATCCAGACACAAATCTCAAGGCCGAAAGAAACAATGGAATGGCTGGTTGGGAACAGAGTTCCAATCGCTGCACTTCTGGGATAAAACGTGTCCCGGGCAGGAGATTGCCCGAAGTTCGCGGCGCCGCCTGCCTCTTGCATCAGGCGAACCGCTTTTGAAAGAGGAGTGGAAATATAGAGGTAAGATGTATGTGTACATACATAAATATATATATGCATGCATAATCACTTATATATATATATATATATATATATATATATATATATATATAATGTCATAATACGCATTCTATTGGTCATACGGCTAACAAGGCCAAGAAACATATATTTGTTGAGTTGTTCATAACTGGCATTCGTGGGCACGATTTCCAGATATAACGGCGGTGGATTAGCTTTCAATCAAAGTTGTGGAAGGAACGATGACGTAATCAATCACTGACGCATTGAGGAGCAT